CTGGCTGGGCGTGGCACTCTTCGCACTCATTTGCCTTGCAAAAGGCGCTCCACACTATGGAGATCTTCGCTGTAAACAAAAGTAAGGCGACAGCAAATAACTCTCAGGGACACTTGTACCGAATTGAACTGTCAGCTGCAGCGGATACTTTCTCCTGCTCGCCGCCATCTCCCGCATTCAACTACCAGCTTCCTACCACATTTCCCTTCTGCCCACCTCTGGGCCATCTCTCGCCAAAATTGAATTACATTTTCACTTCACTTTATGCTAAAAAGCCGTCAGAAGGCAAAAGCCAGATAGCAGCAGCGCAGATAAAAATTAATTAAAATCTTGACAGTTTTTTATTTTTTCTGTCTGCCGCAGAACTTTCATTTTTGCCAGTTTTTCAATTTGTAGAGCCCCTCTATTTGACTCTATAGGGATACAAAAAGTCAGACTCCATCTATACAAAGGCAATCTGCGATAAATAATTAAAATGTTTTATAAAAATAATATTGCCATAACAGCTACGAGTCTTATGTGGCAATGCATTAAATTAGAAAAGCCACTTTGTGGAAAATTTACTTTATTTCATGGTTTTGCTAGCAGATTCCTCTAGTTCATTTTGACCGCTCCACTCCGTTGTCAATTCTTATTGTCAGCTTCAAAAAATATATAATTCACTGTCAAGCGACATCCGATGTCATTTATAATAGCTCGAACTTTGTGACATTTACACAGAGTCCGATAAAGTCCAGTGTTGTCCGGACTTTGTCGAGCCGTGGCTTGATGTTAATGTTTTTCCTTTTGTTTTCTGTCCCCTCAGCAAGTACTTGGAATGTTTTCTGCATCACTTATACATGATTATTTCATATTTCCATACTTTTTACACGCTATCATGTAATGCAATGTCCGGCTCCAACTTTAGCTTGCAAGCCCCAGGGGGATGTGAAGAAATTCTATCGTTCAGCTCTGAAACTTATTGATAAATGATTGTGAGGGATTTTTATTGGCTGTGCTGTCACAACGCTTGTGTCTGGCCCCCTGTTGATTGCCTCGACAGCCGCAACACCCAACATTTTCCCAGATTGTTGTTAAATGGGGGATACCCGGATGCATAGCTGCCGGAGCTGGACCGTACGCTCTGACACCCAGCTGCCTGTCCTGTCTTCAGTCTTCTTATCAACAGTTTAGCGGCTTCTGTGTCTGACAGGTGAATAAAAGCAGCTGTCAACACTTTTTCCCTGCTGCTGTTCATATGTGTGTCAGAATGTTTGTGTGTATGTGTGTGTGCTACTTGTGAAATTCCAACTCCATTAATTTTGATATAGAGCATATTGATTTTGTTTATGATCGCTTTGTTTTGCCCATGTGCTATAAATTGTGTAGATAAGCTTAGACATTATGGTTATTTTATGACCTTTTCCAACACTGGCAAGAAATATTAAAAGCTTTTGGCATCTTTTAAAGCAGCACAATATATTCATATAAAGACCTTGACCTAACAATATAAAACCCTTTAATTAAGATGAGTGCACTCATGGAATTCCTGTAAAACTATTTTACATAAAAGCTTTGCAGGGCCAACAATGGAGTATTTTAAAGGGAATTGAGAAACCAATTATGAAACCAAATACTTTCCCATATCGACAGCATTCAATGGCAAGTTTGTACAAAAATATTTCAGAACAAATAACATATGTGTGTGTGTGCACAGTCGTGAGAAGTGCGCTTAATATCTAAACCGATTTCCATCATTGAAATATAAAATTTTTATTAGCCAATTACGACTAATTGGTGCATGTGGTAAACCTCTTAAAGAACCGAATGACAATCAGAGACAAAGTCGTCATTATTGAAGGCAAATTGAGCCGCAATCCGAAAGAACATTTTATGCCCAACTTCGAATGTCATAAAGTAATACCATACCATAAGGTGCTGACAGGAGCTCGGCTAGAGCTTGTTTGCGAGTGGGAGCGCAGAGTGGAGAGTGGCAAGTGGACAGTATGTGAAGGAAAAAGCCAATGCAGTTTTGCTTTTAAATCCGCACATTGCTGTACAATTTATTGATACACTCTGCTTGCAATAAAAATTGATGGCAAAAACACATTTACACTGACAAAGCAAGAGGCGGCTGCGAGCGGAGGTAGCAGTGTAGTGGGTTGACAGCTATAATTTTTCATTTCATTGTTTTGTTATTGTATTTTGCTTTTTTTTTCTTTTTTTTTTTGGAGTGGGGGGACCGTGGGAAAATTGCGCGCGAACGCGAATGGATAAAGTGCGCCGACAAAAGCTAAAGTAGCAAAAGGCAGCGGCACAAAATTCTTTCTATGCTGCAGAAGAAAAATTCGTGAAAATGGCAGACGGAACTGGAAGCGAATTTTTTATATTTATTTCGGCGGGAAAAAACAAACAAGCAAAATGCGCAAATGGCATCGGAAAGTGGAACAGCACGCGGGGCAGAGCACAGCACTGGAATGCGAGAGACAGCCACTGCGACAGCTGAAAACTGCAATAAAACCAAAACGGACGGAAATGAAAGCACAAAAATAATGTCCCTAGCTAAAAAGGAAAGTGAAAAGTTTTCCCACAACCAAACGAAAATAAAAGCAAAAATAAAGCAATGCTCATAAGTAAAATACGCCCAACACCCAACGAAATAAATGAAGCAATGGAAAATGAAATAAAAACAATGTAAAGCTGGCCAAGAACCAAAGCGAAGCGCTGTTGATTTTATTTTTATAGCCATAATTTATAGACGGACTGCATGGCGTATACGCAACGCTCATGGTTGCTCACGCACATTATAGTGCTTAAGTGTGCCGGAATGTCTTAGTTTTTCTTTTGCCCCAGCCCAGCTTCAACTGCCCAGGGAACAGTCAAATTGGAAGCCAATCGGCGGGTGGACAGCCCCGTCAGAAGGGGCTGCCTGGCTGGCATGCAAATCATTTTTAAATGCTAACAAATTTCGGTCAATTTATTTGAAGCTGCTTCAGAAATAAATTACAACAAAGCCGCAACCGCATGGAAAAAGTTATGAATAATGTTTAAAAATAGAGACCCTTATCCCTTCCATCCGCTCCCTCTACGCAACGCAGTGGCAAATAAATCAATCTTACGCCCAATGCCAAGCCAAGAGGTAAAAGTCAATGAGGCTGCGGGCCTGGGCGCCCAGTAACTTTGCTGTAAAAGTCGAGAAAAGCACAGAGCGAAAAATCAATAAAGATATTTTATAAGCACGATATAAGTTGAGGTAATAGTTATTGGGGCTGTGTGGAGGGAGCCAACTGTAAAGTTTTTGCCCTGAGCCCAGTTATGGCATATAAATCCAACAGAATTCTTTATGGCCACCCATCATTCGGCTCCACTTCTGGCAGGCTTCTCTGGTCTGTTTCTCTCTGTTCTTTCTCTCTCACTTTCTCCTTCTCTCTCTCTCTCTCTCTCTCTCTGGCATATTTGTCTGCTCATTTGCGTTGCCTTTTGCCTTGCCTTTTTTTCATCCGGCTTCTGTCTCTCGCTTGATCATTTACAATTCAACATTTTGCTGGAGCTCATGAATTATGTTTTCATGTTTTCCTTTTTTCACTTCTGCTTTTTTTCAGGTCTGTGGCGACAGCGAAAAGTACGCTAATAGCTTCTTATAACAGCAATGGGGCGAAAGCAAACGTAGATTTCTTTCTTTTTGTGTTTTTTTTTTTTGCAATCCAGATTTTCACTCAACACTTTTCCAGCGAAAAGCTCTAAGTAAAACCAATTAAAGGGCAAAGTTAAAGCAATTTTTGGCTGAATGGAGCTGTGATTAAGCCGCCGGCTGCACGGCCCGCCAGCCTCTTGGCTAAGTGAGTTAACCGTTTCAACATGAAGTGCACGTACGATTGAATGTGACTATTTGCATACGAGCACGTGGCAAATGCAGGCGCTGAATAAAAAAAATAACGAAAGCATAAAAGCCGTGTCAGCCCACAGGACGTATGCGTGTTAAACAAAAAACCCAATTTATGCAACCAGCTGCGGCAACACTTGCCCTGGCCAAAGAGTTAAGCCAATTTACCCGCGTGAATGCGATATTGGATTAGAGTCTGAATATATCACATATTAGTTAGTTAGTTAAATGAAATCTATCTCTGTTGTAACTGGCAGAGAAAATCTGAGTAATAAATATTCTGCGCCTTTGATACCTTTTACATGACATTTATTTATTCAATTATGCCAGGGTATCTAATTGGCGACTTTTCGCACTTAATTGCTTTTTCATTTAATTCAATATTTTTATTCATCGCTGTGCAGCAGTTTAAAATCGTAAATTTGCAAATTTCGTCGAACACAGTTGCGGCCCCTCCGGACTGAACTCGATATTACAATATCGGACAGACAGCCACTCAGTCATTTAAAATGTTAATCACATATACTCGGCCAGAGTTCTGTTCTTTTATATCTGCAATTCAGCTGCAGCTACAGCGAGGATGAATATTTCCACAGCATACCAACATGAATGTTTGTTCGAAAGAAATAACTTTCAGAAACTCGCTAAACCCACGCAAATCCTGGGTTTCTTAACACATATTAGAGTATTATATTATTAGAGTACTCTAATAAAAGTATACCCTGTTTCAAAATTATCAGGCCAACTATTTCGAGGAATCACACAGAATTGCTTGAAATGGAATTACCTAAATGACACATAGCTCATCTGCCGAGCGCATCTAAATCGGTAGGCATATACATGACTCTTAAATATATAAACCAATTACTTATTTGCTTTTCATCAGTTGGCCAAGTTTCAGCAATAATGCTTAATCATAAATACATAAGCTGAGGTCAGGAAAACTTTTGGGTTATCTGAGTGCAATAAAAGCTTTTAATTTGATTAATTAACCCAAAAGCAATTTGGCCACTTTGTTAATTGGCTCGAGGAGTGGAACTCGCTAATTAAGCAAACTCAAATTAAGTAATTGAAATTTTATTTGCAATCAGAACAGACATAATGGAAATACTTTCAAATGATTTTTAAGAAAACTCACCAATTGTCATGCAGAGAATGCTGCCAATAAGTAACTGCGTCAGCTGCTTGGTGCGATGTGGTTGTCTGCTGCTGCTGTTGGTGGTGGTAGTGGTGGTGGTGGTGGTGGTGATTGTGGTGGTGCTGCTGCTGTGGCTGCGGCTGTGGGCCATGCTAACGGCGTCTATTCGCATTTTGGATCGATTTTTCCACAAGCGCAGCATAATGCGCCCTTCCTCTCGCAGGGCTAGAGATTAATGTTCACCTACGCAGAAATAATGCGAATCTTGGCACTTTCACTTCAATTTGGCTGCACTGGTGGAGACGGAGGCGGCAATTGCCGCGCCAGAGATATGTAAACGCATTTAGCACCTAGCCAAAAGTAAAATAAAACTTTATTTTTCCCTTTGTATTTTATGCTGACTGCGGAAACTCGTGGCGTATTCGCAATGTGCAAGATCCTGATTTGTGCACACGTTGACGGAATTCGCCAAATAAAACTTATTTGTCATTTATATATATCGTATATATTGTTTATCGGAGTCGAAGAATCGGCGTTTTTTATGGGACGGCTCGTTCGCTTTGATTTTATGGCCAATTTTATTGAGCCAAAGTTTTTACGCTTCCGATGATAATTTTTGCATACGATTATTTATTTGTTTATTGTTTTAGCTTATCAATAGTTGCTGTTGTTGTTCGAGCTTGCTCTATTTGTATACACACTCCACTTGCTGCTGAGTAAATAGACCTTGGCCCATTGCCATTGGCGGGTGGGTTCTACTTGAACAACTTGGCTGAGCTGTTATTCTTGTTGGAAAAACAACATCTGTCAGGTTTGGGAGCCAATTTCGTATCCTTTGGACTTGTATACGTTCTCTGTGTCTGTCCGCTTGTGTGCGGACGCATTTATCTGGAATGAAACAAAGGGCAATCAGGGTTTTTAATGTAGCGTTAATAGTAGTCGAGAATCGATTTATTTTTGGACTGCTAAATGCCAAGTGATTTACTCTACTTAGCTCTATTGATAGGCGTGTGCAAGTTAGTGTGTGTGTGTTGGGCGTGGTCAGCACAATCTCGTATGGAGTGTGTGAGTATTATTGTAGATAATTGCTTTTGCTGCTTTCGTGTTTAGTTTTGCGCTCAATTAATTATCTCAAGTTACGCCATTTGCGGACTTAGTGAACCCAATTGGCCCTGCCACTTGCCGCAGCTAATGCAATTTGTATTGAATGCCACAACACATATCACTAAAATGCATCATTCCATTTATATTGTCTCTTATCTAATTAACCATGAAAACTGTTTAAGAAACTTGGGTAGAGAAATTAACATTAAGTAAATTGTTTAATTTGATTTTAATGTCTTAAAACTATGATGAACATTTAATCGCCTTCAGAAGAACTTTTCTTGACTAACAATATAATTTAATTTAAATTTTATTTTTGTTTAAAATGTATTCTCATCTCGTTGCCTGGTTTTTGGAGAAGTTTTAGTTGAGATGTCGAATGGCTCATGCAACTTCCGTCTCTTTGTCTGGCGTTCTTTGAGCTACTCTTAGGTTTGCCAGTTTTCTTCACATTTTCTGTAGCCGAAAAGTGAAAAAACTGACAAACAGAAATTCATCTTCATAATTTTGCACACGTTACTGCCAAGTCATCTACATAAAAAAACACACGCACACAAATACACGCATGACACAAGTAGTTGTGTGTGTGTGTAGTTACAAGTCAGCGAAAGTGAAAGGCGGAGGCAGTAATGCTAAAAGGACATTCCCAGATGCAGGAGCTGTACCATTTTCCAGTATCAGTACCCAAGCCAGAACAGAGCGCTCATTCCCCTAACAACGGACCCCCGCTCGAGCCCTGTGGCCCCTCTCACGAATGTAGGCCACTGGCAAAATGTTGACTTTAATGTTGCTGTCGCTTAAAATTTATGCAGCTGACGGTCACAGCTCTCGTCCCGGCTGTCAGCTGGCACAGAGAGCCAAAAGGGCCGAATGAAGAGGCGGGCGTGGCACGGCGTGGCCTGGCGTGGTAGCGTGCATCCCGTTTTATGGGCGGCACAGACAAGTGGGCGTTGCACGAGAGGGCCAGTCGAGCGTGCATTTTTCACGAAAATTTGAAGCACCAGACACATCTGAAGATTTATGCGGGTCGCTTAATAACTCACACACACACACTCACACACAAATACACACAACGATGAACGTAATTAAAAAGTTTGTCTAAACAATTCTCTAATTAAATATTATTTGCCAGTCGAGGCCACATTGAGCTGTCGTAGTTTAAACAGAGTTTTAGAATTCCAGGAATAAGTGTATCTGGGTGTGGGTGTGTCTGTGCCTGTATGTGTATGTGAATGGGTGTGGAGAGGGTTTTATAGCTTGAATATTAATGACTTGACATTTAGCTCGATGAAATTTGTGCAAAAGTTTCGCAACAGCTATGCCACAAATGTTGCTCAATTCGGTTGTGTAGGGTTTTCTATTCGTCTGTTCGTCCGTCTCGTCTCATCTCTTCTTGTCTGGCACGTGTCGTTAGATTTGGCGGGAAGTATAAAATTCCATCAGAACACCCAGCAAAATAGCATGGAAAAGTCAACCACATGGACCACTCTACTTCACCAACCACCAGCCACCACCCATAATAGCTTAATGGCAAAACCACCAAGTACATAGTTGAGCAACCAAATTGAGCAGCTCTTACTTATTCTAGGTGAACAAAGTCAAACACTTCCAACCATTTGCAACCTACAACTATTGATAAGTGCAGCGGGGCCAGAGGAGATCAGGTAGCAGATGGCACAGGAGTGAGGACATATGCAATTAAAGCACACAACATATAGACAACAAAATATTCTCACTCTGACTGCGAGAGTGTAAAGTGAGTGTGGACATTAGATTGGCATTTAAAAAGTTTTCAAAATAGAACATATAAACAGAGATACATTAATGAGATCTTTCTTGAGCTTATTTAGCTGAGATACTTTGATTCAACGAAACTTCTCACTGACAGCTCAATCCACTGGCTGACCGCTCCCGAGGTAAATAGAAGCTCGACTTAGCATATCATGGCACGACAGTTAGTCTAAGGTCCTAGATTCTGCGTCCTATCATAATAATAATATATAATAATAATAATGTTATCTAATTCTATTTATAGCAGTTACAATAATAAGCTCCATTTGGCTGTATTTGTCTACAATTTAAGGCAACTAAAAATAATACATATTTGCATATATATATATATATATATATGTATGTATATATATATATATATATATATATATATATATATATATATATATATGTATGTATATATATATATATATATTTATATATATATATATATATATATATAATGTTGAAAATTAATTAATCAAGAAATTCATGCTCTTGATAATTGCTTTATTATGTTGAAGCTTTCACACTTCAGCTAAGTTAATTAAAGTTCATCAGAGTCCTATTCATGTTGCAGCTTAGCTGAATTAATAATTAATTTGAGTTGCTTTTGTGACTAGCGTTGTTCACAGTGTATTTATGTTGATTAAAATGTGGGCGCATCCAAAAAGTTGCAATTCAAATCCTATGAATGAATTCTGCTTTAGTTAAAGTTTGTTTTCCATTTCGGAAACAATATACTCAGTTCAGATAGTTGCTCTATACATTTGCTGCTGCATTGTTGTTGTTGTACTTGTTACAACTACATGTTTCTTTGAGCAATGTATTTCTTTTTTTCTGTTTTGTTGTGACGCAACGCTTTGCGCTACTCTCGGGGGAAATTTATCTAAATGTTGTTTCAAAACTTCAACTTGGTTGAGAAAGACCGTGGCGTACTCTACATGTTGCCATTTTTCGCACTCACTCTGAATCTGTTTCTGCCTCTGCAGACAGCGTACATTGGACAATGCCTCGTCCCCGTCCGCTCTGTCGCCTGCTCTGCCATCACTTGGCTGTTGCTGGGGCACAACATGTAGCACAGTTGACACAACTAAAGACATTACACAACAGATTACGTATACGCCGCTGTATTTTAGTGTGTGCGTCTGTGTTATGTATGTGTGTGTGGGTGTGTTTTGCTATTAAACTGTGCTACTCTCACGCACAAAGTGCTGAGCAGATTTACAACAACAAATTTTTATGTTATTGGTGTGAGAGAGCGTTGACGACCCAAAGCCCCATCTAACTCCCCTCTTTGACAAGCCTCGACCCCGCACTGGCTTATAACGAGCTACATGCTGTGTGTGTGAGTGTGAGTGTGTGAATGTAGTAGTTGTTCGACCTTCAACAGAATTAATGTTTTTGCACCCCAAACCCCATAGGCTAACAAACTCCATCTCCTCTAGCTGCTGCTGCTGCTGCTGCTACTGCGAGATGCGTATCTTGGTCAACTATAAAGGCACATCTACATACAGGAACATATGTAGGCCGAGTGGGAGCAAGGGGAGCTGGCCCACTCTTACTGTACGCTATATGGCACACAAACATTTTGCACAAACTTTATTCTCTGACATGGGCCATGTCTGTGTCTATGTCTATGTCCATTCGACTGGCACGTGCAACTGTCCACATTTGAAGTCGAGACATTGAGTTCTGGCAAAAGAGTCGACCACACACACACACATACACAAACACATTCACTGGCCATCTTGTTGGCCGTCTGTCTGCTTGTCAATCTGTCATCGTGTCGGGAATTTGTTGTTCTGCTTATAAAGGCTTCGCTCCATATATGTATATAGCTATATATATATATATATATGCATATACATATACATATATATATATATATATATATATATATATATATATATATATATATATACATATATATATACATATATATATATATCTGTCTGACTTTCATTGTGTTGCTTAAAAATACAGTTTGCCAATATTTACAAAGTTCTTTTCAATTGAAAAAGAAATTGCGGCTGAAGTATATTGTTGTTCCTACAGGTCAGTCGATCTATAGAAACCATTAAGAGTATTATATTGATAAAAATCCATTTCAATTGAATAAACTAGTTTATCAGCTTCCATTTTTTTTTTTTCAGTTGACTAGCCCACTTTAGTGAGAGCTCTCTTCCTTAAGACTTCCTTGCGCATAGCTAATGTGCGTCAAGCAATCAGGAAATGGCATAGTAGAGCAGCTTTGGGGCAGCTCTGCACAAAAATAAGTCATGCTCTTTATGAGAGGCAAAGGAATAACTGTGTATATATCTTTCATAATCCATAAGAGCTGACCAAAGCCGAGCCACAGATAGCTGAGCGGCGGGCACGTTTTCCAAAAACTTTCACAGCCAGAGCAAACACTAACTCACCCCCACACTCACACACACACACGCACCGCCGGACCAATATTCGCACATAAAAGTCAATTTTTTTCTTTTGTCTTCTAAGCGAAAATATGTCTGAAGAGGATTGCGTGGGCTGTGCGGGAAACGGGAGTGGCATGGGTCAGTTCGGCCTCTGCCAGTGGGATACAAAACGTAAAGTCTATAAAAGAAAATATTGCTCCAACGAGTCGAAGAGCAGCTGCCACAAACTGATGCTCAACTCTCTGCAGCTAACGACCAACAACAACAACAACAATACCAACAAAAACAGCACCAAATAAAGCAAAAATAAAGTCTACTATAAAAATCTCAGGTTTATATTTCTTCTTTGGGATCAGTTCTAGTAACTGAACACAGTTTGCTGCTGAAGTTGTTGTTGTTTTTATCGAAGCTAAAAAATGCTTTGGCAAAAAGCTTAGCCAAGCTTAAAGCACCTTTAAGCAAACCAGTTCTTATTGTATACAAATAAAACTTAATAAACAGAATGTGCAGCAATTTTTGATTTCGAAGAAGATAATCTCAAAGTTAAACCCGAATTATAATGATATTGATTTTTATTACAGGGCATCTAATAGC